GGGGGGGGGGGGGGGCACGGGGGGGCTGTGAAAGCGCATGGCATCCGATCTGCTGAGTAGCGGGATTGAGGAGATGTTCACATTGCGGCGTTCAGGTACATTAACGCAGCGCTGTCCGTGTCAGGCTCTCTCTCTGGCTGGAGCTGCCCCCCCACCCCCCACCTTCGGGCCCCTGGCTTCCTTTAATGTTTCGGGGGAGAGTTTGGCTGCTTCCGTCAGGAAGCGCAGACTGAGCCGTGCTGGGAGGTCTCTGTTTTACGGAAATGGGGAGCAAGTAGAGGCCTTACAGTCAACCTCAATTAAGCAAGTTACGTTTTATCGAGTTAGACACGTCATGCTGGGTCAGCTCTCGTTAAGATATTTCGCATGTTTGACGGTCTTGAAAGTGTATTGGCTGAGATGGTGGCTGACCACACGCGTGGCACATTCTAGAAAGACGTGAACATGTCGGTGAACGGGGCTATACAAACCGGCACATTTTAATTGGCACGTGAGCACTACCTGATGCACCAGCAGTGTCACACTTCCTGTGGTGTAACTCAACAGTATATCTTCATTATAAAAGGCAGAAGTAAATCTACATTTCCTGGAGCCCGTAGTTAACTGGCTGATGGCTCATATTCAAGAAAGTATATTCTCAGCACTAAGATTTTTACATAATATGTAATATATGCACATTTTTAGAGGGTGATTTATGTATTTATATATAATACTGTATAAAATATGCTTTTTTACTTGTCAGAGTTTGCCAGAAACCACAGGAAAATGGCTTGTAATGTTTTCTTTGCATGTGGCAGTAAGCAGCCTCCAGTGGATTTTTATGTGTATTAAACATATTCTGCTTCTGTGTGATCTATGTGATACCAGTTGCACTGGGCTGGAGAGATCTTCATGCATTTGGTTGGAGGGGGGGGGTTCTCTTGTTCTTCTCTTTTATGTTGTTTATGGTGGGACCTTCCCCTTGCACGTTATATTCCGCTACACAACAATATCACCGTTTGTTCGTTCGCTGTATTTTTTGCTGGGAAATCACCTCGGCAACCTCTTGGCTGTTGATTTATCTAAATAATCAGTTCCTCTTCCTCTTTTTTTTAAATAAATCACACGATTTATAATTATAATTCATTTATAAGTATCGCGTGGCAGGAAATGGTGAGCCCAGCGAAGCCTTGACGTAAACTCGACCCAGTTAGCCTTAATACTGGAGTTAGTGGAGGGTCACGACAGATTGCCTGAATCGTGTCGTTTTTTGGTCTTCAAGGTGAAAAGGTGAGATGTTTCAGAAAGCGTTGCGTCAGGTTGATGGCGGGACCCGGCTCTCCTGAACCGTGCGACCCCTTGCATGGCCACATGGCCGCATGGAGCAGGGGGCCTGTAGCGGGGGGGGGGGGGGGGGGGGGCGTCTCTTAGCCGACACGTCTACTGTCATGCTGGGAGGTGTCTGACCCGTCTGCTCCCTGTGATGGAATCAGGCTCCTGCTTTTCCGCCCGGGGGGGTTACTACCTGTATCCACTGTCCTGTTTTGGCCCCCCACTGGCCACAGAAGTATAATATCTCGCAGGTACTCCCCCTGTTACCTGACTGCGGTGCGTGGGGGGCTGGGGGGGGCGATGTCGGATTGGGTAATTGGGGGAACCAGGGGAATTCCTGGTAGGCCACCCTGGTTGTGGGCTGAGGACAAATTTTATCATCGGGGAACCACCTCCCACCCCTAAGGCCAGTCTGGGGAAAGACATTCCCGGGCTGAAACCCAGTCCCCCTCTGGCCCTGTGGTGGGCTATGAGAATGGTGTAAATGAGCACCCCCCCCATCCACCCCCACTCCGTTCCTGCCGGCTGGGGCAGGCTTGGCAGCCGAGAAGGTGGGGCCTTGCTAGCTGCTAGCTGCTAGCTGTTTGGCGAGCGCCTGAATTAAAGTGCAGTTCAGCTGACCTGCTCAGGGACGGACCTTCATTAGAGCATGCGCTGGGCCTCAGGCCGCCTCTCCGGGCACGTGGCCGCGTGGCTGTAATGTGACTAGCCTTTTAGCTGTAAGTCTGTTAAGCGATTATGTGGTAACTGATCGTTTATGACCATAAGAGGGGACGGCAGCTAATCGTTTTCCTTTGTTTTTAAATGTAAACTTGCAGAGAGTGATTTGGATTTCAGCATCGTCCCTCAGTGCTCTTACGCTGCCCTGAAACTCGTCATTCCTGGTTGCCCGAGGAGATCCATATAAGGGCGTGCAGGGAGGCCGGTGTCTTAGAGGCTCTGAGTGAGGGACCCTGTGTGTGTGACAGAGTGAGACAGAGCAGCCGCCTGACGGGCTGCCAAGTGACACTCTGTAGATGCCCGGGGAAGACACTCTATTTCAGCTTCCCACCATTAACCCCCCCCCCCCCGACCAGGATTCACGTGTGAAACGGGGGCTGTGTTATTGTCCACTACTGTGTTATAGACGTCCAGGGTGTGTCGGCGTGTTGCAGGGACAGGAAGATCTTGTCTGATTTGCATGCAGGACTAATGAACTGGACTCCCACTCTGTCGATAAATGCCTTTAATATGTACTTGTTTATTACTACATCAAAAGGCGATAATTATTTTTCATGTTATCTCCAATAGCAATATTCTACCCTAATTGCACCGGTTACTTTGTCTCTCCTATACAAG